ATGCCATTGGTAGTTATCTCTCCTGCTGGTCTAGAACTCACAATCTCCCATGAGCTCTGGAATCAACTTACTCCAAACTCTATTAATGTTGGTGTTCTTATTTCTTTTTTTCTTTTCTGGGGGCAGGGTTGGTGCGTCATGTGGTGCTAGATTGAACCACGGTCCCTGAGCTTTGCCTAAGCTTGCCTAGGCAGGTGCTTTAGACCACTAAGCTATCTTGCCAGCCCCAGAGTTGGTATTCTCAACTCTTCTCCTAAGTCACAGATGTTGTTAATGGCACTTAAAAACTGTGAATCCTTTTAGAAGGTTTTCAACTTATTCTCCCCAGATCCATAAGAGGAAGAAGACTTGAAAGCCACTACCACTCTTGATCCATGGGTTACAGAATGGATACTGAGTTAGCAGGGAAGGAAACAGGGATTAGTTTTCCTGTTGTTTATACATTTCTTTGTACATCTCAATCAGATCTACTGAGTGACCAAGTGCACTGTCAGTAAGTAGTAACATCTAGAGAGAAATCATCTTTTCTCAGCAGTAGGTCTCAACAGTGAACCTAAGCTATTCAATAAGCCATACTGTTGCTTTGTTTCTGCTGCTCCTCCCTTTTGTTCTTTCTGTTTTGCTTTTTTCCACCACCATAAACTGTTGCCCTCTGCCATGTGCCAGTCACCCTGTGTTGGGGCCAGCTGATTACGGACTGAAACCTCCAAAAACTGTGAGCTAAACAAACCTTTCATTTCTTGAAAAAAGAAGAAGCCACACTGTGCTGCCATGTCAGATGTGCTGTCAGAGGGGCTTGCTATTCCACTGGTGGGGCACAGACAGAGTGGACCTAGGATTTTCAGAACCACTTGCTTCATCTTAAATTCACCAGCTACACTGGCTACTAACAAGAGAGCAAGCCTGTCCTTTGAAGCCAAGTACTGATTTCTCCTCTCAGGCTCTGAAAGTCCTAGGTGGGATCTTCTTCCAACAGGAGGCCAATTTACCTACATTGAAAACCTGAGCCATCTTCACTGTTGTCATAGCTAGGTCTTCCAGATAACTAGCTGAGACTTCTCTGTCACTGTCTGCTGCTTTCTCTTGCTTGTTTACATTAGGAGAGTGGCTTCTTTCCTTATACCTTCAACTTCTTTGGCAGCTTCCTTCCTCCTATGTTCTGAACCAGGAGTGTCCTTCAAAAGCCCAAATGTGAAAAGCTTATTTCTCAGGTAGGTGTTACTGGAAGGTGGCAGAAACTCTGAAGAAGCACCTAACAAAAAGTCTGCCAGTCACTAGGGTACACCCTCAAAGGGGTAACAGAAATGTGCTGCCACAGCCCCTTAGCAATGGAGGCCCACCAATCATGAACTAAAACCTCCAAACTGTGACCCAAAATAAACGTTTACTCAGTTGATTTAACTCAGGCACCAGATACAAAAGCAAAAGGCTGGCAAATGTACACAACTGTTTTAGCCTTCATAGCACTGAAAAGAGTTAAAGTCTTGCACTGGGTTAGGCTTCAGATTAAGGGAATGTGGCTTGAGGTGTAGTGGTACACACCTATAATTCCAGCACTCTGGAGGCTGAAGTAGGACTGCCATGAGTTCAAGGCCAGCCTGAACTACACAGCAAGACCCTGCCTCAAAAAAAAGAAAAAAAGAAATGTGGCTGGTTTCATCTCTATCCAGGTCACTAACCTTTCTCAGGTCACTAAGCTTCCTCCACATCAGATGTTTTATTTTTTTATCTTTCCTGCATTCTCTGCACTAGCACTTTTAATTTCTATCAAGAACTTTTCCTTTGCATTTGCATTTACATTTGGTTAATTACTTGACATGAAAGGCCTAGCTTTTAGCCTGTCTTAGCATTCAACATGTCTTCCTTACTAAGGCTTGATCATCTCTAGTTTTTGGTTTTAAGTGAAAGGTATGTGACCCTTCCTTGCACTTAAGCACTCAGAGGCCACTGTAAGGTTATTAATTGGCCTGATTGATTATTGTGTTCTCAAGGAATAAAGAGACCCAAGGAAAGGGACAAATGTAGGGGGAAATGGCCAGTTGGTAGCACAGCCAAAGACACATTGATGGCTTCAGCTCACTCTCACACACTCTCCTAAACAATTATTATAGCAACATCAATGGTTACTAGTCATAGATCATTATTAAAAAAGAACAAGTCTGGAAGAACAAGTCTGGAAGAGAATACCTACAATATTACCAATTACAAAAATGTAAAGTGAGCACACGCTATTGGAAAAATGGTGTCTATGCTTTCTCAACCTAAAGTTGCCCCCTTCAATTTGTAAAAAATGTAATGCCTACAAACAGCAATAAAACAAAGTAGGGGGCTGGGGAGATAGCTCAGTAGAATAAGTGCTTGCCTGGCAAGTTCAAGGTCATGAGTTCAATTCCCAGTACCACACACACACAAAAAAAAGTAGGCCTACATTTTACAAATTTATATATTATACATCAGTTTATGTTGACATGAGAAGACAGTAAAAATTGGTTCTACTTTGAAGCTTTGAAATTATAATTATTGTTCCTTTAAGCTGATTTTGAAACCAAATTTGCTGTTTGATGATGCACAATCATCTCACCAGGTTTTACTGTATTTATGTACAGAAACCAGAGTGTGACCATAACTGACAAAACAATACTAATCATGAAAACTGATGAATTATTGAATATCATTTGATCTTTCATGGTGAAAAATCTGTCATCAGATTTCAGATGCAAGTTTCATCCTTGAAAACAAAATTAAGCCATAATCATTACTAGGTAAATACTACATTTGATTTTAAAAGCAAAGTCTAAAATAAAACACTGCTACATAGGACCTCAACAGTTACTCTCAATATATTAAATCTTATACTAATCTTAGGCTGGAAATAGTTACCATTTCTACTTTCTACAAGAAAATTTCTGCATCCAGTTTCTTCAAATTTATCACACTTACAGACTGAAAACCTTTTATAATCACACACAGTAACATCAAATGCCCCTTGCCACAAAATCACAACTGCTAGAGGGCTGCTAATGAGTCCATCCACTACTGAGCTCAGTTCTACCAAATGAGCTGCTGGAGGCCCCACTTGGAGAGCAGCTAATCAGAATGGCAACTTCAAATCACTGGCCCTTTCAAAATGGAAACTGTTGAGCTGTGAGTTGTGACACCAAAGCTAGGATATCAGAGTTCTGCTGTCAATGTGGCTGCTGATTCTTTGAGACTTTGGACAATTCATTTATCCCATGACTCTACTTCCTCATTGACTGACTGATTGATTGATTGATTGATTGACTGATTGATTGATTTTTTTTGTAGTAACAAGTATCAAACTCTGGATCGATCACTTGCCAGGCAGGCACTTAAGCCACCGAGCTACTTCCCCCGGCACCACACTTCCTGATTTACAAGTGAGAAAATAAGACAGTCCTGCCCCACCTCACTATTATAGTGGAAGACAATATTGCAAATAAAGCATTTAAAGCTTTTGTAAAGAACTTTGTGTGTGCATGTGTGGTACTGGGGATTGAACCCAAGCTTTTGCATGTGCTAGGCAAGTGCTCTGAGCTATATTGCCATTAAGCTACACACTCACCCTTTTTTAAATTATATTTTGAGACAAGGTCTCTTGCCTCAGCCTCCCAAGTAACTAGATTTAAAGGTATGTGCCTCCATATCCAGCTGTTAAGAATTTTTAAATTGCAAAAAACTATAATAGGGGCTGGGGAGATGGCTCAGTAGAATAAGCGCTTCCCTGGCAAGCACAAGGGCCTGAGTTCAACCTCTGGTTCCGCAAAAAAAAAAAAAAAAAAAAAACCTATAATAAATATTTATAGAAACAATACTATTAATGGACTCCAGTGAGCTAAAGTTCAGATAGCCTCTTATATAAAGAACCATCATGCAGCACTGCTTACTAGTAAGATTAAATCAATCAGATCCAAACAGTATAGTTTTAGTTTTCATTGGATATCCACAACATTGTGGATATCTAATAACTGATAAAGGAAAATGAGAGTATTTTATCTATTAATTTCAAATAAAGACAATGAAGTAAATATGAAATGCATATATGTTTACACAGAATGTACCACATAACTAGACACCAAGGTACTTTTTATAAATAAGACAAAATAAAATTACTATTTCTCTCCTTCTATCTTGAAAATTCATTTAAATGTAATATGGGAAAGGAAAACCCACAATCCTCATTTTTAAAAAACTAGGAGACAAACCACAAAATGAGTACAAAGGCTGCCAAATAAATGAAAATGGAATAGGAATGCACGTTGTTGGCAGCAGACAGAAAATACTACAGGACCAGATTACAGAAAGAAGAAAGTATACTTCCTGTCACACAAAGGTATAAACTCCTTGTTTATGCCAATAGAAACAAGGTACAAGGGCTGAGCATTACAGCTCTCAGGAAGTGTTTTGGTTCTAAGAAGTAGAGAAGACAGTGCTGAAAACAAATCTCATAAACTATATTTACATAGAGAAATCTATCTCCATGGCTATGGGAGACAAGAGATTTTATACAATGGAAGTCGCAAAGGTGTCTATCTCTATTGCAGGGGCAGAAAAAAGATAAAAGAAATAATCATAGGAAACAACTTTCACAGAAAAATACTGATGTAAATCATGACAAATGCCTTACCATAAATTAATAAAACCTAACTAGGCAAGTAACTCTAATTTGTGATTTATAAGATTATATGTAATCATAAAATGTTATTGACTAAATCAGGCACAGTGAAACACACCTGTAATCTCAGCCACTCAGGAGACTGAAGGGGAATCAAATGTTCAAGGTCAGCTTGGACAACTTAGTAAAATCCTACCTCAAGCTAAGAAATAAAAAGGTCTGGGACTATAGCTTAGTGGCAGAGCATTTAGCTAGCATGTGCAGGGCCCTGGGTTAAATCCTAAGCATGGCAAAAAAAAAAAAAAAAAAAAAGGAAAACAGAATTATTGACTTAAATAATCTCAAAATAGTATAACTGATCACTTACCTCTGAGTCATACTTCATTTTTTCTTCTTCTAACATACGTGCAAATTCTTCTTTCTGGTGTCCAAATTCTGACTTAAGAAATGTATATTCATAGCGAAGCTTATTATATTCAGCTCTATACTTTTCCACTTGCTAAATTAAAAGGAGATTTCAAGTCATGACAAATTAGTAAGTAAAACTTGTACTCACTTTAATAAATATAATTTTAAATTTATTAAGAGCCATTCTAAAAGAAAAAATATATATTTAACAGAAGTACAAATGAAATTTAGAAAAGTCCTTTTAAATATGCTACATGCAGAATTAATATACTTCTGAGAAGGCACTAATAAAGCAAATTAATTCAATTAATGCATTCCTTATTAGCATGACCAAAGTTTTACTTCTCAGCTTAATAAATAATATTTAACAAAGCAACAAACTTTTCAAACTACAGCTAGATTTTTAAATTATAATAAAGTATAAGATAACCCTCTAAGGGCCAGCCAGATAGCTTAGTGGACTAAAGCACCTGCTTAGGCAGAGTGCAGCAGCCGGGGTTCAATCCCTGGTGTTCTGTGCTGGCCCCAACCCCAGAGCACACTAACAGGGCGATTGAGAATGGGTGTGGTGGTGTATGCCTGTAATCCTGGGGCTTGGGAGGATGAAAACAGGAGAATCACTAGGAGCCCTATCTACATAGTGATATAGTTAGACCCTGTACTAACTACCAAAACAAAACCAAAAAAAGATAACCCTCTAAAGTAAAGATTTCATCAACATAGATAAAAGTCATTTGAATACTTAGTGCAGTAATTTAGCATACCATAAGATTTTTACACTGATGGTACAAGCCCACACAGCACCTGAATACTCACAAACATGGTGCCATCTCTCCTCGGCCCAGAGGGGCACTAGTTCTGCACCCTCACTCTCTACAAAACTATTCTGAATATTCAACAAGAAATACAGGCAACAGAGAAAGATGCAGAAGACACCATTTCAGCAAATATCACAAAACTAGGTAGTAAGGAAAGTTATCTTCTAAAATATTCAGTTCACTGTAAATCCTTTAGTTGATAAAGACTTCTAAGCCAGTTTACAAACCAAGAAAATCAGTTTTATATTATTAAAAACATTTTGTTTTGAATTTTAAAAAGCATACTTTTACTTAATCATCTACTTTTCAGCCTGAGTAATTTTATTCCCAAAAATTAAATCTACTTTCAAGCCATCATTTACCACTAGAAGTATATTTGGAATATCATAGTATCAAGTCAGTGAGCCATTATGAAAGAAGATTCCACAACTGTCTCATGTAAAGGGAAGCATATCAGACTCCGACCTTCCAAAGGAGTCTACTTTGAAGAGGACAATAATCACCTGTATGTACAGGCCTGGTATGTTTGTTTTGAAAGGCAACATATGAAATGTCTGACACAGCACCTAATCTATTTTTTTGCAGTCTTTCCCAGTCCCCTTTATTAAATATTTATATTATACCAACACTTCATAAAATGAGATGTCTTATCTTGAAGTAAAGCTAACAAACATTTTCCTTTCTGACATCACATGAAACTCATTTTTTCATTCAACAAATATTAAAAAAGGGGATACAGATGAATGACCGTTTGTATCTGTGTATTCAAAATGGTTAGGATAGATATATAGCTACATTCTCTTAATTCAATGAAGAGGGATTTGTTCTAATAGTGTTTGTAAATAGGATATCATATCTGCATCTTGTACAACAAATAACCACTAGGAAGACAATATGCAATGTGTTAATTATTGAAACTGTCCTACCAATTTGATTTGACACTGTCTCATTGCTATTTGTTTCTCAATAAAGTTATGAAAAAAAACCCAAATATTAACTGCACTATTGTATGCCAGGAACTATTCTAGGAACTTGGAATGTAATAGTGAACAAAACAGATAAAGGTTATTTCTCTTATACAACTTCTATTCCACAGTTGCTAAAACAGAGCATAACAAATAAGTAAACAGCATAGCACATTAAAAGACAATAGATACTAGAGCAGTGGTGGTGAACCTACGGCCTGTGCAGCAGGGGCACGCAGAACTCTCTGTCAGCACAAGCAAACTAACCCCAGCAGCCGTGCACTGGGTAACAGTTGTTTTTTATAAATGAATACCTCAGTATTCAGGTTTAACTGCAATGTTGACCCTTTGTGGTAAATAAGTAGGTTTCGAAAGGCTGGAGAGATGGCTCAGTGGAATAAGTGCTTCCCTGGCAAGGGCAAGGGCCTGAGTTCAATCCTCAATTCCAGTAAATAAGTAAGTTTGGGGTTACAGTTTGAGCACTTGTCTCAAAGGTTTACTGCCACTGTATTAGAGGATAAATAAAAATAGAACAAGGTAAGGGGGATCCAAAGATTTAAGCAGTGATGGGAAAAGCAGATTGCAAAATTGTTGGGAGCCTCTGAAGCTGGAAATTGGTCAAATGTATGGGGTCAGAACTAGGCCTCATTGTCTAAAGCAGTCAAGGCACCTCAGTCTTGAAAACAGCATCCAACCTGGTCAATGTCAACTATTAGTCACTAGGCAACTTTGTGGCATGTGATATTAACTTTGCAAAGGTATAAATAAATGCCCCCATAAAAAAATGTTCTGGGGGTCACTTGCCAATCAGGCTACAGACCACACCTGACCCAGCTCCTGTCTTCTTGTCTATCTTTTCCTCATTCCTGCTGCCCTTTCTCCTCAGGGTACATTGAGAGACCAATGGAGTCATACACAATGTTAAAAAGGGAAATAGGAGGTGGGCAATCTAAATGGGCCAAAGAGAGAAAGTAACATTTTAGGGAATGATTTGCAAAAGATGAAACAGCCAAGAGATCTAGATGAAGAATATTCAAAGCTGAAATAGGCTGCTAAAGCATTTCTGAACTGCATTATTTCTGGAGTGCCAAAGAAACATCTGTAGGATGTAGGTGGAGGAAAAGAAGTCAACAAAGTAATGGAGTCCGGTGCTGTAAAAACCTCAGAGAGCACTGTAAGGACTCAGAGTAAAAGGGGAGACCCTGCAGAGTTCGGGTAAAGGAAAGATACTGTACATAATGTTACTTTCATAGTCACATGACAGTAAACATACAGTTCTGCACAACTACTTACTTCATCCAGACTCCGAAAGCGCTCCTGCATTGGAGTTTCTAACTCTTGTTGTATCTGGGCTCTTAACAATTCCAGCTTTTGCGGAGTTAACACCTTTTATGTAGAGAAATACAAACAATTCCAAATACAAATCATATATATGAAAATAAAGCACTCTCTAAATTTCAAATCTTCTCTCCTAGTTATGAAAATGAACTATAACTCATAGAAGTTTCCATAATATAAATAAATTTGCTATAATTAATATATATCTAAGACTATAGACTCAAACAATACTTTTAAGAATCTCAATTTTTGGCTCTCAGAGATGTGAAAAAAATCTACTAATATGAGGTAAAGACAATCACTCAATATTAAGAATAACCACCATTATTAAGAATAACTATATGGTCAGCTAAACATAGCATGTTGAACACAGTGAGTGGTGGCCTAGCTATTTTCTAAAACAAGCAAAGGTGCAAAAATTTGTTATACCAAAGAGAATTCTTCAGACTTATTTTCAATCAGAAAAAGCTGATTATTTCTTGGGCCATCAAAATTAATTTAGGCTCCTCCCTGTCACACTCATATAGCACTCTTATTTCAATAAGTAAATATTCTTAAGCTCCACATGAGCAGACACAGTTGTCTTTAATCATCGTTGCATTGCCAACACCTCTCAGCACAGCCTGCCACACAGACACTGCAGCATTCCTTCATGAATGAATGAATGAATCACTGAACAAACGTACATATGCTGGTTGTAAAAAGAAATCAGTTATTTATATGAGTTTGCATGAAAATAAGAATAATGTTCAGTTTAATTCATTATTGATCATATCCGTATACTTTATTCAAAACAGTACTAAAAATTATACTGAGAATCAACCAAACATAAAACATTTTGCAATGTACTATAATCTAAATGTCCTATAATATAGTATAATGTATAATCAATGTATTATAATCTGGTCACATGCATTGATTTATTTAATTCCCTTTGTTATGGCTTGCATCTTAGATGTTCCCTAAAGTCTCATGCAGTCATAGGGGGTGCTTCTGGCTGAATCTAGGATGTGTAATGCTAGGATCAAGGATGTGATGCTAGGATTGACTCACGGTTTGATGCTAGGGTTAAGGGCAGGACTACTACTCACCCTAAGGGCAGGTATTCTGGATAAACTATGAGACAGAAGGTCATTACCTGCTGCTTTCTGCTTGCTACTTCCTTGCTTTGCTGCTGTCTCCTCTGTGATACTTGTCATGTACCTTGTCAACTATGGACTGAAACCTCCACAAACTGTGAGCTACAATAAACCTTTCCTCCTTCACACCAAGTATTCGGTACTTTGTTTCAACAACAACAAAAAATAACTAAGAGAGCTACATGGGACTACATGGAGCTAATGTGACTAGATGGAGCCAAGCACCTAAGTAACTTGCTAAAGATCACAAAGACGGGCCAGTGAAATAACTCAGCAGTCTACAGCACCTACTTAGACAAGCTTAGGCAAATGCAGGGACTGCAGGCACCACACGCCACACCAGCCCCTCCCCAGAGCAGGCTGAGCTGGCCACACAAAAAAATAAAAATAAAGATCACAAAGACTATACATAATATATGTGTCATTCTACAAGAAGTTCTAACTCTGCTATGAGAACTATTAAACATAAATAACTATCAGGTAGTTACTATAACAGTACTAAACAGGTAAGAATGAACAGAAAAGACATTCTGAGGCCAGATGTGGTGGCACATGCCTTAGCACTCAGAAGGCTGAGGGAGGAGGACTATTGTAAATATGAGACCAGCCTGGGCTACATAGTGAGCTCAAGGCCAGCCTGAACTGCACAGTGAGACCCTGTCTCAAAAAGACCAAAAAAAAAAAAAAAAAAAAAAAGACATTCCAGACAGACAGACTGATGCACCAAAGGAATGGGAAAGCAAGTGTGGATGCAGACCAAACCATCAAAGAGATAAAGTTTCAATTTTTCTGAGATGGCATAAGCAGAAAAGTCTGTGAAAAGTGGTTCTCAAAGGGGAGCTAAAGGCATTTACAGAAAGCTTACTTTATTTAGATGCTGTTTCAAACAAGCCAACTTCTTCGGGGGTGGTACTGGAGATTAAAGCCAGGACCTTGCCTGTGCTGGACAAGCAACTACTGATCTACATCCTCAGTTGCTTTTAAATTGCTTCTGAGACCAGTTCTCAGTTGCCCAAATTGGTTTCAAACTTTTCTCCTGCCCAAACTTCCTGAGCAGCTGGGAATACGGGTATTGCCATTGTGCCTGGCACAAACCACCTTTAAAAACAAGCAAAATGGTGGAAAACTTAAGGAAATTTGAACAAAGATAAACTGCTAAAAAATAATATGGAATAAGTGTTCAAATAAGATAAATGTAAGTAATACATTTTAAAGGATTCTTTCAGTGCAAAACAGATATATACTAGGTTATGTAGGGTTGAAATAATATGATTTGATTCCAAGTAATTTATAGAGATTGACAGAGTGAAAGGAGAGATAGTCTTTAAAACATTCTGGTCAGAGCTCAGACTGGCTCAGAGACTGTTACTAATGGTGGGTGAAGAACATGTGAGAATGTCTTACACTACTTTCTTTACCTCTCTAGAACATGTGTTTCAGTTACTTTTCTCTCCTTGTTGGGACCAAATATCTGATGCCCAAAGTTAAGGAAGTGATTTATTTAGCTCACAGTTTGTGGAAGTTTCAGTCCATACTTAGCTGGCTCCAAGGCAAAGTGGCATATAGCAGAGGGCAGCAGTTCATGGCAGAGGAAAACAACAAAACACAAGAGCAAAATGGCAAGAGCAGTGGCAGCAGCAGCAGAAGCAGCAAAGAAAAGTAACTGAGATAAATCTGGTACCAGAGAAGTGGGGTTGTGACTAAACCTGACCATGTGGATCACAAGCCTTTGGGAATGGCTTATGGGAAGAGATAGGAAGGTGACATTGTGAAATGTCACCTACAAGAGAAGTGCAAGAAGGTCTTCAGCTATTCTGTATGGGAGATTCTGGTCAGAGCTCAGAAGGACAGAAGGCTAACAGAAATTCTGCCTTTAAAGACCAGAATGGGGAGGTTTCTGCTGGCAAGAAGGACTGCATGGGTTGTTTGAACTCCAGACGATGTGTGTTATGGCTTGGCAGAAAGTTTGTCTGCATTTACTCATGCCCAGAGACTTTGCCTGAGACTGAGATTAAGTGCAGTTGACTAATTAATCTTGCAAAAAAAAAATGTCAAGGCAGTCACATGTTGAAGCAGTGGTATAGCTATTGTTGGGGGCGTTTAGCCAGATTTATGTTGAGAATCAAGAGCAAGGATGATTTAAAATTTAAGTTTGGTCAGAAAGGAAGCTCCAATAAAGCTGTGGACCACAAAGTTAGAGATGAGATCTCTACTGCTGAGAAGGAACAGGAGAATAAAAACAATGGCTTGAGGGCACCACAAGAAGCAACAAATCTCCATCCTTTGCAGCCTCAAAACTACAAAAGTGAAAGACTTTGCTTTGAGGAGAAAGCCACAGAGTGCTATGTTCCAGAATAGCAGCAGTGGTCACACAAGGTTCCAGAACGCTGGCAGCATAGAAAATTTGTTCCTCGGAATCAGGTTCAGAGTGTTCAGTGATTCAGGCACTCAAGCCCTATAGCTAAGAGAGAAGAAAGCCTGGCTACTGCTCCAGCTGGCAACAGAGCTTGGCATCACTCATGTGGTGTTGGTTTTAGGCACAAGCAAAATACAAGAGTTCTGAGGTTATGAAGGCTTTCACCTAAATTTGAAATAAAGGTCTGGGAAGTCAGGCAGTGTGCCCCTGAGAAGGTAGTGTGTGCAGCAGAGAGAGAAGCCTAATGTGCAGTGGAAATCCTAGAAGTGTGGAAAAGCCAGGAACACGGATCATCCAAGAAAAGCCACAAGAAGGGAGCAAAGCAGGCTTCGGAGAGAAACCATGGGAGCTACCACTAAAAGTGCCATAGAAGTGGAACCACATAGAGATCACAAGTTGCTACAGATTGCTTTGGATGCTCTATATCCAAAGAACTTCAGGAACTCCAGAACCAAACTCAGGCCCTAACATTTGCCCTTCTGGATTTTGGACTTGCTTTGGTCCCAATTCTTTATATCCTGCTGTTTGTATCTTTTAGAATGGTAATGTTTATCTTGTGCCATTGAATGTTGGAAGTGTTTAACTTTTCATTTGTACAGAGGCTCACAGCTAGGAGTTTGCTTAGATCTTAGAGGAAACTTGGGAATTGTACTTTCAGCAATGATGAAACTGTTAGGACTTTGGCAACTCTTAGAGATGGACTAAAATGCCTTTTGCATAAATGGATGTGTGTGAGTCTTTGGGGGACCAGGAGCAGAATGTTATGGTTTGTGTCTAGTTGTCCCCCCAAAGCCTTCTAGAGTTTGTGATCAATTAATGATGCAATGCTGGGATTATGGGTGTGAGTGCTACACCTGCCCTGGGGCTGACAAACTGTATACAGATTAAGGAAGGAAAAGAGGCTTGCTAGATGCTGCAGACACTATTCCTCACTTTTCTCTTTGCTGTTTTCCACCACCATGAACTACTGCCCTCTGCCATGTGCCACTATGCCTTAGAGCATGCTACGGAATTTCATAATTAAGTTAATTAAAACTGAAAGGGCTTTCACTTCCAGCCAATAGGGAAGAACAAGACTAACTATACTCTCCTGTCTGAGGAAAACAAGTGGATAAAACAATAGTTTTTGAGACACTGTACATGAAGAAACAAGCAAAACAAAGGTGTGCTTTTTAGACATTTCAGGACATGGCAAAAGAAAGGATACCCAAGAAAAATCTAATGAACTCCTAAATTGAGGAGCCTGAACTAAGGATTCAGGGAAACTAGAGACCTTAGTGTCATAAGATAAGGTGGCTGACAGGAGAGTACACAGAGAACTACAAAGACGTGCAAGAAGTCTTGGCTCCTTCAGCAGATCAGCACTCATATTTAAGAAAACTATCTAAACTACCACCCAAAAGAGGTATCAGTACTTATAGCACACATAAACCTAAGAGTAATTCCTGTTCCAAAGCCAGAGGGGAAAATTTCATTTGAGAAAAGTTAGTAAA